TTTTGGTTTGTTCATGAAGTTTGGCGCAACAACCTTGAATATTATAACAAAGAATTGGAACTGTGCTTCTAATATCATTGTCCATCAGTTTACCTAGCCTCTGTGAGATGTATGATATGAATAATATAAATTTAGAACCTGAACAAATGCAAAAGAATATGCGATATAATTGGTTGGGAACAAGCACGGTACATAAATATTTGGGAAAAAGTTAATCGATAAAATAGATATTGACATAGTGGTGCATATGCACAGTATGACACTTATTTATACAAGTGGAAAACTTAAAAAATCATGAATGTAAAAATTGGTCGTCTTACTCTAAAAGGAAGCACACAAAGTGAGGAATGTTTCCAGATAATCCAAAGTCCCGCGTTTGAACTGCTTGAATCTGCATAGATGTGGCCGTCATAGTTTTCCCCAGCAAAGACGTGTGACATGGAGTGAAAAGGTGCCTCGGGATTTTGTATGATAATTAGGTCTGGGTTGTGTCTATCCACTGTTCTGCAGAAAATTGTTTCAAAGTCACGTAGATGCATACCCTTTGTATTCCATGACAGCACAGTCTTATATGGCTGAGGATATGAATCATTTTTTTCTCCAGCAATTATTTCAGTATGTATTAGGTTAGAATATGAATCGATTGGACGTGTTACTTTAACAAATGATACAATAAGTCGACGACCAATTGTAGTATTTAGAAAAGATTGTACGTCTGCATTGAAATAGAAGCCAAGTTTTGGTTGATTATTAGGAATTTTAGGTTTTTATTGGATAACAGGTAGTTTTGAATTTCGGGATTTATTCGAAATAGTCAATAACTTGATTTATAATAATCAAGTCAATTCTACTTTTGTTACTTTGTGTGCTGCTCTATTTTTTGCGGGTGCAGTTGCTAAATCTGCACATATGCATATCTTTCTTCCATAACGTAAACCATTAGATGCAATTGGATTTGAGAATCAATCCAAATCCCGTTTTTGTAAATTATTTTCACCCTTCCATTTTATTTATGATTATTCCAAACCAATACAATCTATTTGGGGAAATAAATTAGTGCAAATTCTTTTATTGCATAAAAATATCATTATTTGATTGATCTAAGTTCATGCAATTTATTATGTATTATAATAATATTTTCTTTTGGTCAATTGTTGAATAAAATCTATTGTAGAATATAATGTTTCTCGTGTTTTTTATTTAATAACACGTCATAAATATTTAATAACACGTCATAAACATACATCTAATTCAAATTCTGATTTGAATAAGAAGATTGACTGACGAATATACTAGAAAGTGAATATTTGTCGAAGAAAAATAGGATATTAAGTGTTAACTCCCATTTCTTATTGAATTAACTGATCGACGTGCTATCGGACATTTATTTTGAATTCGATAATTTTCACAAATTTCGACATATTTTTTTTTTAATTTATTATTATTATGAGAACTAATCCTACTACTTCTGGTTCTGGGGTTTCCACACTTGAAAAAAAAAACATGGGGCGTATCGTCCAAATCATAGGTCCGGTACTAGATGTAGCCTTTTCGCCGGGCAAGATGCCTAATATTTATAAGGCTCTAGTAGTTAAAGGCCGTAATACTGCTGGTCAACCGATGAAAATACGGAAATTTATAACTCCGATCCATGCAGTAACATTATTTTGCATTTGAATTATATTTTCCCCATATATCCCCGTTATTGTCAAGAAAGATCTACAATAATGAGTCTTGGACAGTTTATTTGTGAAAATACATGAATTATCATTTCAACGATCAATCCAATATCACATATACAGACCTATTCTCTGTACTATCAATAGAATCAATTCTAACAAGTCACATACTCATATTCCGGAAATACAAAAAGAAATAAATTCCACGATCGAACTGCCAAAATAGAATAGACCAAAAATCTCAGTTCCACCGAAGGTACAAAAGAAACAAGAACAACAACTACTAATTCATCCGCTAAGGTATTCCCAAATAGTCGAAAACTAAGTGATAAGGGCTTTGTGAAATCTTCTAAAACGTTAATGGGTAAAAGGATTGGGGTTGGTTGAATATATTTACCACTAAACTATACCGGCTACAATATCATTATTGTATACAAATGGACCTTTTGTCCAACAAGGTAATTGAGCATGATCAAGATAGGATCATCAAAGAATCATCAAAATGAGAGTGTTGAACTTTGGGAGTTCTTAATTGAAAGAGATTCGGAAAAGAAACTTCATTTAATTTAAATGAAATAACTAAAACCTTTTGCTGAAGAAGATAGATACCTGAAAGACCCTTTAACTATTAAAAGGTTAATAGAACGAATCACACTTTTACCACTAAACTATACCCGCTACAATATCATTATTGTACACAATGGACTTTTTGTCCAACAAGGTAATTGAGCATGATAAAGATAGGATCATCAAAGAATCATCAAAATGAGAGTGTTGAACTTTGGGAGTTCTAAATTGAATGAGATTCTGAAAAGAGGCTTCATTTAATTTAAATGAAATAACTAAAACCTTTTGCTGAACCGATCAAAAAAAACACTCAAATTCTAACAGAAAATTCCATTGTGAAATAATCAAAAGTTTCTTTTTTAGTTCGGAAAATAAAAATGTGGTTGGTAAACAAGGATCAGTTTTTTAGAAATGTACGGAATGTATCGTCAAATATTCAATATGATTACACAAGATCCAGTTTCGTTCAAGTAACGGATTCTAGCCAACTGAAAGGATCTTCTGATCAATCCAGAGATTATTTGGATTCCATTAGTAATGATGATTCGGAATATCACACATTGAAAACGAAGTTGTGGGAGAGCAATAGTTCAGTAACAGTTTGGAAATGGCATGGATCTTTATTCCTGGAATTCGGTGGGAACAAAAATTGATTTTGATGTTTGTTGTGCAATACACCACAGAAAGTGATAAATTGTTCGCTCTTGTTTCATTCAGTGCGCCGGAATAGAAAACTCATAAACGGCGACAAGAATTGTCAATCAATCTCCTGCAGAAAACAGGACAACTTGAAAACCAAATAAATTGTTACGGTATATTTCACAATAAATATATCAAGAGATTAGACAACTATGATATAGATCATAAAAAGCCAATAGCGTAGACACTACTTTCTTTGGCAAGTCTGCAAACATAGGAGCAACTATTTTCTACTAAAGGTTTTGTCTAATAATGCATGACACTATAGAAAGCAAAAGTATTTTGTTTATGAGTAGACCTATTGAAGTAAGCATTTGAGCAAAAGAGTCTTTCAAACTCTGAACAAGTTGTTATGTATAGAGTAATAGTATGTTGAACAATAACCTTATCGGATCAACAAAGCAATTGTAATACAAAGAAAAAAAATTGGCTACAAATGGTCTACTCGATTCGAAGATGGTGTGATATTCTATGCAAAAAAAAAAAGAGGTTCGTTTACCGAATACAATACGCAGCAAAAAAATAAATTACTCCTGAAAGTTAAGGAAAATGCTCCAGAAAAATAAATCTGTAGAGAATACAATTGCCTCAAGCCGAAATGCAGGAATTTCGTTGTCAATTATGAATAAAAAATTGCTTTTCTATGGCAATGAAATTAGAAGAACACAGTTCTAACCTCAACATCAACAATGAACAGAATAAAAATTTTGATATAAAAAATATGACGTTCGTCTTCACCACATACACCATTTTTATTGAAGGAAGACTCGGTGAACAAAATAAAGTGGCTATAAATAAGATGTAGCAATTCAAATTAATGTCAACTGAATCCAGTAAACGATCCCATAAATGTGATAGTAGGATTATATATAGTCACAGTAATTAAGCAAATGATTCATGATAATAAACACAACTTGTGAACATAATTAAGACCATTAACAAGCTCCCACAATGTTGACTCAATGGTGTACCCGTTTCCTCTGCCTGCTTCTTAGCTAATAAAATGTTTTATTTTTAAGTTTCCTCTCCTTTAAACGAGCAGCAAACAGCAACATGCATGATAGATTATAGGCTACCTGGGTAAGTGTGATAATACCTGAGCAAAGTCATATTTCAATTTGTAAAACCTTTTACTCATATATGTTGACATGTAATTTGAAAGCGACAAACATGACATCAGCAATTTAAAGTTCAAAATAAGTGAAAACATAAACCGGTACATAATATTTTTTTTCTACGAAACAAAGTAATAAGGAGACAACTACAAGTACATTACTTTGTATAAAAGATGCATGCCTAAAGTATTGACACTGAAGGACCAAACGATAATTTTCATTAGTGAGATTAAAGTCAAGGTATTACCTAATGTCAGTTTTCTAATGTTAAGGAAGTATGCAACATCAGCGTTGGAGTGTGCAAAGAATTCAGATAATAGCATATCCTCCAAGGTCGACAAAAATGGGAAGAATCGAACCCAAAAAAGGCCCTACAAGAAAAATGAAATATGAGATGTAAGCGTTCAGAATTTTGAATAATTTGTACAAGAAATAGTTAAATACGTTTATCTCGGACCTGCATCAAGCGACTGCAAAGTAGTATATATAGGCCTATCGAACTTCTACCGCAATGATTTTCACAAAAAGAACCCTACGGTACACAAGCAAAATTTGAATTGATTTCTCATACGCAATAGCATATCTAGGAAATTTGGCAGCAAGAACAAATGAAAAAAAATATATATACAAGTTCAGTGTACTGAAGCTTATGCAAGATCGAACGTGTACCTAAACGTCATTGCAGCAGCACTCAAAAAACATATCAACACAACAAATCGAAACAAAACAGTAGGAACAAGACAACTGCAAACTGTCTTGAAGCCTGCTGATTTCCTAAAACGAAGAATAATATGTTGCCATAATACAAAAGTTACACATATTTAAAAGAATATATATGTACATAACCGAAAATAAAGTTGATCATAAATTCAATAGACGTACCTCCTGTCGAAGCATATATTTCTTCGTAAACAATATTTTTTGTACAATCAACAGGAACTTATTTCTTTGTAGATGGCTCAATTAGAATCTTAATGAATTCAGCAGATTTGGCCCTTAACAAAGCAACGTATAACTGACTGTGAGAAAATACTGGCTCACGTAGATATATTCCCACAAACCCTAAAGTCTGCCCCTGTGATTTATTAATCGTCATAGCAAAGCAAAGACGAACCGGGATTTGCAGCCGCCTAAATGGGATAGGACACTCTAGTTTAGATGAAGATTCAAGAGGTATACGTGGAATGAAAACATGGTCCCCCTTGAAATCTCCAGTTGCAATTTCAGCCTTAATGAAATTATCACCCAACTGACGGCAGATGAGCCTTGTCCCGTTGCACAAGCCTCGAACTGGATCCAAATTTCTTAATAGCATAATCGGGAAATTTTCTTTCAAGCGCAACACATGTAGAGGTAACCCACTTGCCGAGACACCATTGAGATAATCCTCATACTCGGCCTGTTTCATTTCGTTGGTGGTTTTATTGAAACTAATATACTCTTTAACTTGTCCTGTGAATCTATCTATTAATAGATCATTAATATAGTCAACACATTCATTTATTGGAGTGAGAATTGCCCTATTCACCAATGCATAAGGATTTGCTGAAAGAGTATCAAATGAAGGATAGACGCTGTCGACAAGGCAGCCAAAAGAAACTTCAGAATCCACAAAAGGAATTAGCATCTCATTTGGAATATGTATGTTGTCGTCAAATATAACAGGTTCAACGCCATCCCCAACGCGCAACAGAAAAGCAATAAAATTTGGATCCTGTCTAGCGCGCATATTTTCAGAAAGTTCTAGGCGTATTACGTTGCACCAAATATGAGAAATCGTTATACATGCTCCAACCATCGACTCCCTTGAACTACGAACAACCACCGGTAAAGTCTTACGAAAATCGCCGCCAAGTAAAACAAGCTTTCCGCCAAATGGAAGTGATGCATCACATAAATGACGCAATACATCATCCAACGACTCAACAGAATGACGGTTTGCCATTGTCGCCTCGTCCCATATTATTAATCTTGCCTCTACAATCATTTTACCAAGGCTGTTTTGTTTACTCACCTTACCGATTGGCTTGTCGTCTATATCAAATGGAAGGTTGAATCTAGAATGTGTCGTACGGCCACCGGGAAGAAGAGATGCGGCCACTCCAGAGGTTGCAACGGCAAGAGCAATATTACCCCGGGACCGAACGTATGTAAGCAAGGCTCGGTACAGAAATGTTTTACTTGTTCCACCTTGACCGTCCAAAAAAAAAGACCTTGCCTACGCGCATCAATCAAACGCACAATCTTGTCAAAAATTTGTTGTTGACCCTCATTGAGTTGTGTCATAGAAACCATATCCTCATCTGAAATAATTATTGATCGTTCATGCCTATAATCTGCACTCAATCTGTCAGTAGAAGGTAAATACCCAAAGGGAAATTTAATTGCATAATCAGATATAGACTTGTCCATGGATATAAGAATAAGATCTATTGTAGTAACTGTTTTCAGCAAAACATCTTTCTCTCCTAGTGACGTATCATGACTAAAATCTTCAGATAATGAGAAGTAGTACTTATCCCACAACAGTTGCGTATCGGAAGTAGAGCCGTATACAAGAACTAACGCAAACAGGATATGTAAACAGTAAGGGACATGAAATAAAACAGCCTCTGCCATACAATTATCAACATACTCGTCCGATTGTAAAATTCCTCTACGAATAGCGGACTCTCGGAAGGTGCTACACTGTTGGCCGTCTACAGATAAAAGATCATCAAAGGATACCGGACACCTAACTTTGGCAAGTAGCAAACGCTCAAAATATCGTTCACCTTCCTGTGGATTTACAGTGCAGAGCCTCCCAACAACTGTTTGCCTTTTTCGCAACATCCATTTTCGTTTAACACCTTCCCAAACAAAATACTCCGGGAACTCTTTATAGAGGAGATGAAGTCGAATTGCATTGGCATCATCACGGTTCATTGCAAAAAAATTGTGTCAGCATTGTTTTAGTACATAACGGATTAGCTAAAATCTGCTCCAACGATTGATTGGCTCCAACTTGATATCAGCACATATCTCGACATTTATATGGCAATCAAACATGGCTAGTAACAAAGGACAATAAGGTACAACATATCGATTATCAAGACGCACGTTGCGAAGAACTACAGTTGTGCCATCATCCCTTCTTCTATAATTAAGGTAAGAATTTTTACCGTGCACAGTAGATGGTGAGAAATCCTTGGGATAATGATTCTTGCACTTACCATCATGCATGCACGAGTTACCTGGATTTGAGGCACCACAAGGACCGTGCATCATATGCTTAACAACATAAGCACGCAAAAATTGATGAGAAGTGTCAGGCAATTCTGCGGAGATAAATTTGTCATATGCAGCTGCGGAGGTCATTCTGTGATGAGCATCCAGTATAATGACCCAGTGACAGTGAGGCAAACCACGCTTTTGAGACTCGACAGTGTACACGTACGCTGCGACCTTGCCAAACAACCCGCGTACTACAATGTCATGCTTCGGCTCCTCCAGCTTACTCCTGAAAACACGGGCTATTAAATCTGGTCTATCATGAGGTTTTTGCCCAGGAAGCAAATTGTCTTGAATTTCTTTCCAAGGGGGGTTGCAGGTCATAGTTAAGAAAATATCGGGCTTCCCAAAGCGTTCGACCAAAGCCATAGCATTCACGTACTGCCTGCGCATGTCCGTAGGTCCACCAATGAATGAAGACGGCAAAACCACCCTCTTACCAATATCAGAAGACTGAATATCACGTTCAATAGACAGACTGTCAACAACACCCTGATAGGATTCAGTACGAATCTCACGTTGTAACTGTTCAGATCTGTAGTAATCCAACCGAGAAGTCTCCAATTTAATGTACATATCGATAATATATTGTTGCGTCAACAGAGCGAAGTGCAAAAGAACTGAACGACGACCTTGCCGCATCTGAGCTTTGTAACAGTAATACTCACGACATGATACATTGTGTTTTTTTGTTACGTTTGTCGTCAGCACTACACACAAAAGAGAGGAAAAAATTAAGCTGACCATACAGTAGAAAAAAAAAAAAGAAACATGTTGGTATTTGAAATAAATACAAATCTCTTTACTCAACACTAAGCAATTATGTGGCTGACCCAGCAACCGTTGGAGCGATAATATTTTCACCGGCACAATGATGCATAGGATTTGCAAGTTGACCCGGGCCGATAGGTGGGAGCCTCTCTATTCCGGCATGCCACGCTGGTTCTCCATATGGAAAGAGTAATGGATACTGCAATGGATCGTAGAACCCAGAGTAGTAGTTGATATTGCGACGAAGGCCAACACCTGTATATACATGTATATCGCGTTGAGCTTCAGCACCACCATCATCACCATCTCTCCAAACAGCAGCCACCTGGTCAACTTGAGGAAGATTGTAATTCCTCTGATCTAATGCAGGGCTTGTTTTAATAATAATATGAGCTTCTGACATATTATCCCAAGTACCTAAAGGCTTAAAGAAAATGCTATACGGATTATGTGACAATGCCTGAACAAACAAGGTGATTATATCAAGCCGCAAATCCTTTGAATGCAAAATATTACCATCCAAATCATCACATGTGTCAAGGAAGAAAAATTGAAGAATCTTTGAAACATCAGCAGCCCCAGTAATAGCATTAAAGAAATGAGTGACCTGGCCCGTTACTTTCAATGCATAAATACCCTCCCTAGCCCACCAAGAATTTTGGTCAAAAGTCATTCCAATAGAAGTAAATGCAAAAGCAACATTGTCCGACCGCACCCTTCGGCGAAATTCAAGAGCCATCTCCGACGCAATATCGGTGAAAAGAAACCAAAGAATCGGACAGACAACCGATGCCGCAAGGGAAATCTGCCTCGAGGCACAACAAAAACCAGGTGATTCACGATAAAATCCAAACGCGCCACAGTGACCACACTCTCGCTCAGCAGGGAAAAACCATGGTGCAGATGGAAGATCACCAAAAGTGTTGGTATGGGTTGCTGGAGCCACCAATGGTGCATCGAATATGCATGGTGGGACCGGTTCGACTAAACAAAATGAAAAACATTGGTAGAAGAAAAATGTGTATCAACAATGAAGACAAATGAACGCAAAATAGAAAAGTCCAATGCCTGCACTACTCGAAGAGGAAACAATAATAGGAACCAATACAGTGAGCTGCGGAACGGAACGTAAAGCACACCCTGCAGGTGAAGAAAAGAAATTAAGTTGTACACGAAATGTAAAAGAAGTTTAGAAGAGTGACTGTAGCAATGACGAAATAATTCAGTAGAAGATGGTTGGCAAAGGTAGAAGTCAGGAAACTTATTTTTATCACCAGTGAAGTGAAATATTGGTACAATACCTGAATCTATTTACATAGGGGCCGAAACTAAATAATTCCTTCAAGATCGGTACGAATATACAGTCGATGTACTGAAGTCTGAACAACGAAATAAATTAATTGCGTAAGTGTAAAAAATAAATTCCATCGGTAATCGCATATTGCAAGCTCGTTGAGCTTTCTGCTTGACTAAAAGATTTCTCTTTGCTCCCGCATCCAATGAAGCATATGCGAGCCGCTTTTTTGCATTAGCCAATAATCTGTTTTCCTTAGCACGATCAAAAAGATCAGAACTGTAGGCACGGTCGGACGGAGAATTCACTACACAAGGTGAGGCCACAAATTACCATCGAAACTGAGAAAATAGAAAGACATCAGAAAGATAGAAAACTTGAATACCTGTATCCCTTAAGGAAACAACAACATGAACAGCAACAACCGGACGCACCCTGTCAGCTAAGTTTGTACCTGCATAACATAGAAACATAAGCAACGGAGGTCGTATATTAAATTTGGAAAAAAAGGAAAACTTGCAATTTCCAGCGAAGAAGCAAACACTTTTAACAGAAAATACCTCTCATAAACCAAACTAAACTAAATGCTCATGGGAAAAATTAGGCCACCAAAAAAAAATTGAACATTCGGTACCAATATGTTTCAAACAATTCCACAAATTCAAAGGAAAGCATAACAATCTAGGATCATAATTGATCACTTATTACCGGCCCAATCCCAGAAAGAAATATAGAATGCAGAAGCTCGAAATAAATTAAATCGAACGACAAACAGAACCTAATCCAAAGGAACTACAGATGAGGGAAATTTTTGGGAAGCGGTGGACAAGCCAACAAGGCTGTCGGCACGGGAAAACGATGTATTGGGTAACTCAATGGTCAGATTGCTGAAGGAACTAAATTAACAATCATACTGCACATTGAAACTCTAAAACCTGACTCTCCCTTTAATTAATAATCTTCTCTCTATAAACACCACCAACTCAGCATCAACATTGAGAAAAATGTAAGAAAGTAACAACAATTCTGCGCATATGAAGCCCCTATTGTGATAAAGAAAATCACGGTACAAGGTACAATACCTAGCAACGGTTTTAACAAATAATAGCTCTATAATAAATGAAACTAAATTAAATGCTCATGAGAAAAATGAGGCAAAAAAATTAAAAATTTAAAAAATTGAGCAGTTGTTAGCAAGATGCTCGAAAGAGTTCCACAAATTGAAAGTATAGCACCACAATCTTGTACGAAATCATAACTGGTCACAGAAAGGGCCATTTACTCGTAGAACCCAAAATACAGAAAACCAGTAACAACTGCATACCACGGGGCCGGCGAACCTTCGGGCTGCCTGAAAGAGCTGTGTCAACCCCCGAAGCCGACGGAGTAACGCGGCGGCGACGCTTGGCAGTAGGCAGAATTTCTTTGTGGGAATCAGCCATGTAATTGGTAACGGAACAGGCTGAAGGTAAAAAAACAAGGGGAAAACCAAAATAGGGGAAATTTTGGATGCGGTGGCAAGCTAAGGACGCCCAACGCAGAAGGAAGGGGAGAACGGCGGAGCAACTGACGGAAGTGACGCAATTCACCGACCAGGGGCCCCACAGAGAGTGGGAATTTCCGCGGAAAGAAAATCGATAAAGGAAAAGAGCGCAGAACAAAAATTGCAATTTGGAACCGATACGACGCCGTTTTGAAATTTTTTTATAGAGATAAATCCAATTGTATTTTATTAAGTAAATTATATTATTAAGAGTAAAAAGCAGTTTGCCCCCTAAACTATGGGCCGATTTGCACTTTACCCCCCAAAAAAAAAAAAATGCACGTTTTTACCTGAACTCGTTAATTCGTTGCACGGTGCCCCCTGAACTCAATTTTCCGGCAATTTTGACCGGAATTCTAAAACATGTGCAGTGCACGTGAGATTTGCAGGGATAAATTTGTCCATTCACATACATCATACATACTAAATATAAATTAATCGATTAAATAAATTAAAGATATAAAAAAAAAAAAGACAAAAAAAAAAAAAGAAAAAGAAAGAAAAGCTGTAACGCACCAGCCCCCAACCCAAGCCAAAACCAGTCATCCTCTTTTGATTTTTAAATTGTTTTCTTCCTCATCGTCTTCCAAAAACCCATCTCACTACCAACAGTAATCGCCCGCCCGAATTCCCAGCAAAAACCTAGTTCACTTTATCTTCATCATCTTCAGAATCTCTCTTATCTTTGTATTCATCTTCTTCCCCAAGTTTCTTCTTCTCTAATTTCCTTCCCCAATTTCTATTTCAATTATCAATTTAAATTCTACTTATATATTATACTTACATCATAAAAAATAAAAATACCCAAAAGTAGCTGGGATCTTTCACGACGGAGGGGAGCATAGGCGGAGATGGTGATTTCTTAAAAAAGAAAAATTGAGGAGATCTTTTTTATTTCGATGGTCAAAGACTCGGTCGGCGGACTAAGGATGAAACGAGGTAGGTGACGGCAACGGATTGAAATTAGTTTAGAGGTGGAATCAAGGTGGGGAAGGAGTGGAGGTGGAGATGATTTGCTGCCGGCGGCCGATGGCTGACGGAATTTTTGGCTGGGATGGGTTTGGGACAGGTGGCACTGGTGGGTGAAGGGAAAACGAAGACAAATATTTTATAACTTATTTTCTTTGTTTTTTGTTTTTTTTTTTAAGATTAATTTATATTTAGGCATTTAATATACAACATGTAAGTGAAATGACGAATATATCCTGTAGATGTCACATGCAAGGCACATGTTTTAATTTTTCAAGTCAAAATTGCCGGAAAATTGAGTTCAGGGGGCACCGTGCAACAAATTAACGAGTTCAGGTAAAAACGTGTAAATTTTTTTTGTTTGGGGGGTAAAGTACAAATCGGCCCATAGTTTAGGGGGCAAACTGCTTTTTACTCTATTATTAATAACCTATTTTACCTTTTCTCAATTTATTTAACCTACCCACAACTTTCTATCCCATAGCCGTCTCATTTATTTACCTATAGCCGTTCTCTCTCTGTTTTTATCTTCTTCATCACTCCGTCTCTCTCTACGCCGCACTAGCCTCCTTCATTCCCAACTACAACCTCTATCAGAATAATCCTCCTCTCACTCAAGTGGGTCCGAAGTGAATTTTGTCGGCACAAATTATTCCAGTGAGGCCACGACCCCACTGATATGTCAAGACGCTCTCGGAGTGATGGAATTATAGCATTGTTGACGGCCGTTGATTCACTCAAGCGTAGAGCATTTTAATCACAATTATATCATTGTTAACGTGGGTTGATTCACTCAAGCACGCGCTAAGATTTTTGTGCGGCGTGGCGACGACTGATTCTGATGTCAATCGCTACTTTCATTTTTCGTCGCAAAGATAAATTGATTCCAGATTTGTTTCACCGCAAAAGTAAATTTTATACGGAAAGTTTTCATTTATTCTTTGTTATAACTTTGTGCTCTGTTTTTTATTTCCCCAAAAAGTACAGTGAATAGATTATTATTATTATTATTAACTTATTTATATTTATATTCCAATTTCCTTGTGAATAAGGGCATCAACGAGAGTTTTTTGTAACCTTATAAAGCTTTTCAAGGATGACTCTTGTAGTTCATCTGTAATGGTCTTGAATTCTAAGTGATATTTTATTGCAACACTCAGTTTACTTCTTTTGTTTACCGTGGTTCTATAGATTACAGTTATAAAACATAGCAAAACATTTCTCACGTGGAAACATATTCAACACCATACTAATGTCACTTCTTGTGGCACTATTTACTATATTAATTTGTGGTGGTCTATGCTAACTTTTTAGTAAACTAGGAAGGTGGACGTGCGTTGCACGTCTTGTGTCAATTTAATCGGGTTTTTTTGGCATATTATTCGATCAAAATAATAATACAAATTAAAATATCGAAATTATTTAGAGTATATTCATATTATTATCTAGTTAAACTTTGTCTAATATTACAATATGTTTAGATTCATAATTTCTACTTATATTTATATTCAAATTCCATTAATAGTTTTTTTATTTTCTTTCATCTTGATTTTTATTCCACATCGATCATCATTGGAAAATGTTATTTACCTGTTTCTTCTTATATGTATTAGTTTTTTTCTTGCAACTTCTTCTTGGAACACTATCATATTTTCTTGGATAGATAGAATACTATTGTCATTATTTTTCTTTTTGAAAATAGAATTCATTGACAGTTGAAAACTAAGGTATTTGTAGTTTAACTTTGTTTAATATTATAATATAACATGTTTAGATTAATATAATTTCTATTTATATATGTATTCATGATTCATTAATTATTTTTTAATTTTTGTATCTTAATTTTTGTTTTCAAATCTTGAAGCGAACTCCAAAAATTACATCACAATAATTTTGCAACAACACCTATAAACCCCTTTAAAATTGCGGAATGGCGAAACGATGAAGAAAATCCCAATTGAGGGGTTAATAAGTTATGAATATATCTCTTTATTTTAATAATAACCTTACAATTTGGGGACTGAGTTAAATTGTTTTAAAAGATATTGAACAAAGTTGGTTGTTCAACTGCTCCACCGAAATAATGTGGAGTTGGAATAGAAACATTATCAAATACACTGATTTTCCTGATTTATAGGTCAAGAAGACTTCTCCTTTCACATAGTAAGCAAGAAAAATTGTCAAAAGTTTGCAAGAACATGGATTTCATTGATCAATTTCCCTGAACCTATTTTTCCTTTTCATTATTTTTTCTTGCTAAATTTCGAGCGAGTGAAATAACATTTTTTTTTTGATTCATTAATATCATTTTAGTAATGCTTTTCACTGACGTGATTAATTTTTATACAAACTTTCTTCAATTTTTTTTGTAACTTAATGTAACACAAGAAAACATCTATTACCACCACATGTGACCATATTCATAACCCACAAAGACAAAATTGAATTTGTACCTCAAGAAAATGAGTAAATTAACAATATTTACAGTGAGGTCTATGTTAACCGTAAACCTTAAACATGTCAGCCAAAATAACTGAAATTTTGTGAAGATTTTACAACTTCATTTCATTTTTTCTCTTTCCGAAATGACTTAATTATTCCTCTTGGCACTCAAAATATAGCATTTGGCACTTTGCACCCCCGAAAAAAATAATAGCACTTTGCACTCTCAAAAGATAAGTAATCATTAACATTGCACCCCAATTGTTTTAGCAAAATTATCTAGGTATATTATATGTTTGGTTGATCTTTAGTAAAAAAGAATATGTAATTTGCGGAAACGTTCAAGTAATTTAGTGGTAAATGGTTGAATGGTGGGGAGAATTAAACAATTTAACTTGACACTTTCTACCACAAAAATATATACTATTTCACAGATTAAAATACCATTGGTGACTACACCCATACAAAAATATTTATTTATAGTGTACAAAGTATTAAAGTTATTACTTTTCCATCCTTCGACTATTTTTTCACCAAATTACATAAAAACTATCGGTTCATACAAAAAAAAATCATTAATTGTTTTACCAATTCCGAAAAAGTGGTACATATCCAATAAATTTGTAATTTATTTATCAAAATTCTATTTTTGAATTATATTTATACATAAATGAAAATTTTCATTTATAAATGCTACTAAAACATGAAATTATCTTCATTAACTTCAAAACTTTATGTTGGGGTGAACGTGATATTATTTTTTCTGCGGCGCAAAGTGGCAAAATGCTACATCTCGAGGGTGCAAACTGGAACTAAACCTTCCAAAATTAATCAAAAAAACCTCAATTATTGAAGAAACAATATTACAAAAACTTATCGATTAAAATTGTAAGTATTGAAATCTCGAGAACATGCCTCCGAATTTACAATTTAAGTCCAGCCTCAAGCCCTCAGGTGTTATTATATTTATTGTTGTCAACAAATATTTACGTGATCTAGAAATTTTGAAGTCAAATCAGTCGCCCAAGAAATGAATATATAACAAATAGAAGCCAACATAAAAGGTGAATTAACAAATAATTAATAAATATGTTTTACATATATTCTTTATAATAATTAGGGAAAATTATGTAAAACCCCCTGAGGTGAAGCCTAATTAAAAAAAATCCCCTCGTGTTTGTATAGTTACAAAAATCCCCTTCTGACCAGCGTTTGACCTTTTGAATTCACAGAAAATGTATCTTGTCCGTTTTACCTTTCTGTTATTTGAAAAACAATAAATGATAAATTACGAGAAACCATCTGAAGGTTATATCTAATTAATAAATCCCCCCCCCCCATTTGCTTGATTACGAAAAAACCCCCAATGTATGATGCCGTCTTACACAGGCCCCCTATGGTGTCACTTTTGACGAATCAAATAATATATTTTTTTTATATTCAATACATAGTTTTTGCATTTTATTTTTTTAAAATTGAAATATTATTAGAAATTTATTTAAAACTAATGAAAATATTTTTAACCTAAAATAAGAAATACGGAAATATCTTTCCAAAATATGTGAAATCGATTTTATTGAACAAATAATTATAAAATTATAAACAAAACAAATGGAAAACAAATAAAAAAATTTAATGTTACAAGATATGTTTAATTCTTTTATATATATTTTCTATTTTTAATAATTATAAACTCAAGAAATACATTATAGTTTTAAAATTAAAAGTAACTACGT